AAACAGTGTTTCTTTGCTATTCATAAGGTTTACCTTGGCCAATTCTTTCAGAAGTGGATGGCCTCTTCCTTCTTCCTAGTCTGTCTCAGTCTATCCTAGTCTCAGTCTATCTCAGTCTGTCCTAGTCTCCCACACCTGGTAACCAACAAATAAAGTTTTGTTCTATATATAAACTTTTCCTTGACTTTTTATGATAACAGACTAATAAAATATTTGTCCTTCTGTGATTGACTTATTTCACTCAGCATAATGTCCTCCAAGTTCATCCACGTTATATCATGTCAGTTTTAATGTCCCCTTTTACATTTTTTTACTTTAGTTATTTGGATCTTTTCTTTGTCAGACTGGCTAAGATTTGTCAACGTTACCGACTTTTCAAGGAGCCAACTTCTAGTTTTATCGATTCTCTCTATTATTTTTCAGTTTTTGAAACATTGGAGAGTTTTCAGTACATTGTCTGAAGGGGAAATTAATGTCCCATTTCTCCCATTCTAGTAGATGAAATTATAATAGTTCTTATCAAAATACACGTTGTGTTACAAGGAAGGGAAAGTGCCTAATTCATTCTCTGAGTGAGAAAACCAAGAAGATTTTCTATTCAGGTACATGATGAAATCAAAGATGTTTTACATATTCTTTATGTACACTTTATATCACAAGAATGGGAAGGTTCCCAGTACAGTCCTTGAATTGGAAGCCAAAAAAGACTTTCTCCCATTCTCGGTCCTGAAATCAAAGATGTTTTACAGGATATCAAAGTACACTTCGTGTTACTAGGATAGGAAAGTTTCAATGCTTCCTCTGAGTAAACTGTTTACCATTTTCATTCAAATATATGAAATCAAAAGAACTGTCCATGTTCTCCAATTCAAGATTGCATTACAAGGATGTGATTATTCCCGAAATATTCTTTAAATGGGGAATCTATAAGGAGCTTCAGTGGCATAGTGGATAAGGCATCTGCTAACCAGGAGCTCTGGTAGCATAGTGGCTAAGTCACTTGCCTGCTAACCAGACGGCTGGCGGTTCAAACCCCCCAGCCACTCCTCGGAAGGAAGGTTGG